TATTTTTTTTAATTTTTTTACCAAGTATATTCGATAGCCATTGGCTGTCGATTATACCTATATTCGACAGTCAATGGCTATCGATTATATAATTATATTCGACAGAAAAAATTTCTGTCGATTATAATCATTTTCGACTGTTATTTTTACGTAAAAAATTATTGTCGATTATGTCTGTCGATTAAGATATAATCGACAGAAATACTTGGATAATCGACAGTATTTTCTGTCGATTATATTGCGTTTTCTAATAGTGTAGTTCTTTTCTCTTATCATCTTTGTTTGGTTTTTGGAGTTGGATTTTCAATTCCATTCCAAATTTGAAACTTTGTCATTGGGATCTCTTCTCCTACAAATTAGATTGTTTATCCTTGATTCTTAAGCCCTTTTTAAGGTATTTTGTTGGTTTGTCATTCCGATCTTGGCATCTATTTCATCATATTTTTAGAGTTTTTCAGCATTGTCTGTTTTACTAATTCTATGGCAAGTTTTGAAAGGATTGTAACTCATCTTGCTACTGCTATGGTTGCCAAATAAGTGATAGACCAACTTAATGTCAACCTTGAATCCTTAAAACAGGTGATATTAAATCTTTTTAGTGCTCTTACTACCTTATCAACTGCTCCAAGTACCAAACCTTGGTATTTTGATTCTGGTTGTTGTAACCATATGTCTTCAATTACTGCTCATTTCTCTTTAATGTCACCAAATAATTCCTTTCTTAATATTTATTTTGCTAATGGTTCTCCTATGAATATTAGTCATGTTGGCAGTATTTCTACAAAGTCATTGACTTTACCAAATGCCCTCTTAGTTCCAAAACTTAGTTATAATCTTCTATTTATTGGTCAGTTATGTGATATTGGTCTTGAAGTTACTTTTTATGCTCATGGTTATCATGTGCAGGACCTACGGACAAGACAACTTCTTGGAACTAGTTGCAAGGTGGGGCGTTTGTTTGAGCTCAACTATCTGCATATTCCTGATAATAAAATGGATACACCATCATTTCCAAATGATCGATTCTTCTAAACCTTACTTTGTGCTGTTGAATTAGAGTATTTACAAATTCCATACCAACAAATTTTGCAAGCTTGTGCTAAATTGTGTTTCTATCTTATTTTATTATTATATATCATTATATATCTTTTTCTGTTTATAATAATTTGTGTTTGGATTATGAGTTACAAGATATAAAACTATCAACAATTGGAGTCAAATCAATATAAATGGACTAATTGGGCCTCAACTTTCTTAATAAGTTTTATTTAAGAGATTCATTAGTCATTTATTTAAGATTTTATGGAGATTTACTAAATATTTTATAAGGTTGATTGGATATTTATTCTAAATTTATTGAAGATTTTAACTATTTTTATAATATTGTATTGTATGTATAAGATATAATATTGAAAATGTTTATGGAAAGATTATTATTAAAATTATAATTGAGTTCAAATTGAAATATAATTGAAATAGTTAAAATAAAATTGAAGTAAAATTGTAATATTAAAAAAATTATTATTGAAAATGTAGCCATGAATATTTTTTTATCAAAATTAATTATTAATGATAATGCTTCATTATGATAATGCAAAAGTAAGATTGAGTCCTATACAACTATTATTTATATATATATATATATATATATTAATGATATTTTTTA